ACAGGAAGCGGTGCGCGCTACCGCGGAGCTCTGAGCGTATTTGTTTGACAAACGCCTGTTCCACATCAGAAGTTGGGCTAGTATTCCCGCCCATGATTTTAAAGATCGAACAAACTTCTGGACTAGAAGAATACAAGGTAAAATCTGAAGATGCAACGTGCTGTAGTAACGCAGCATCAAATCTCGAGCAGGCGCTTCCAATCTTAGAGCGATCACACAATGATCTCAGACGCCCGGCAAGGCGAACCCACCAGCGAAATGCGCGCATCGCCGTTTTGGCTTTCATGGCACTTTTAAGCTTGGGAAAAGTGCTACGAATGAATGTACGTAGCATTGCTATAAAATGGCGACATTCAGCGCACGTGCGGCTTGTGACTCTGTTATCAAGCGCATCATACCATTGCGGTGGAGGAAGCATAGAATTCCGCTCATTAATTGCATCCCTAAGCAAAGCTTTGTATGCGTCTGAAGCCCTGAAGAGCTCGTCCCAACGCCCAACGAGCTCTGAAAGTGCTTCAGAACGAAGGTCTGAAAGAGCATCAAGCTCGGGCGAGGCGCGACATGCATCACGTGCCGCAAGCTGAGCAACAATATTCCATCGCAAGCTATTGCAGGCGTGTTTCGGTGCGTCTACGGCAACGTAAGTGGCAAATACGGATCGCTCATGAGCCCTGAGCATGCGTCGCACTTCAGCATTTCGTCCCGTTCGTGGTTTTAGATGCTGATCACACGCAAGCAAAAGAAAAAGCAGTCGACAGGCCTGACCACCTTGTTTATGCAGGAAGTCCAACAGATACGGCATTCGCTGCTCGTCACCGATTATTCCATCGATCGACAGTGCATGTGCCTGCGAAAGTTTATGATTTGTTTCCGATTCATCTGACGACGAACCCTCCAGTTCACCTCGAAGGCGGGCAACTGGGGACAATGCGTCTCCGAACTCCTCTATTGTATGACTTGGTATCAGAATCTGAAATCGGGTCCGCTCGACTACTGGGCACAGGACAACACAAACTCCACCACCAGGCACGGCCACTTCGAGACAATCACCAACACCGCAGCCTGAGGGCGCCCGCACCGATAGCAGAAGAGCGGTCATCGACCACTGCTGAAATGATAAGCCTCTGCGGTTACTCTCACCTCTTTAGTACTGCACACTCCGCGGTGTAGTCCGGCGCACATTAGAACGCCGCGGCAGCGAGTCGCGCGACGAAAACTTCACGCGCGCCTTCGAGCAAGGTCTTTGGCCGAGCCCCGGACGCCGCGGCGCGGCCAACGACACGCGGAACCGCGCCGACGCAGCTGTCTTCGAGCAGCTCTGCTGCGAGGCGCCGTCTCGAGCGTATTT